GTCAAGGTTAACACAAACAGAAGATAAAACGGGACAGTACAACAAATAAATCCTTCTAGGGAGGGTGTTCTGTCAGGGTTAACACAAACAGAAGATAAAACGGGACAGTACAACAAATAAATCCTTCTAGGGAGGGTGTTCTGTCAGGGTTAACACAAACAGAAGATAAAACGGGACAGTACAACAAATAAATCCTTCTAGGGAGGGTGTTCTGTCAAGGTTAACACAAACAGAAGATAAAACGGGACAGTACAACAAATAAATCCTTCTAGGGAGGGTGTTCTGTCAGGGTTAACACAAACAGAAGATAAAACGGGACAGTACAACAAATAAATCCTTCTAGGGAGGGTGTTCTGTCAGGGTTAACACAGTTTGACACAGTCAGGAGCGCTTACTGGTTATGAATTTTTTATATCAAGGGCTACAAAAAACCTAATCGAGTAGATTACACAGCCAGGCTGAGTGTTGCATCATTTTCCAAGTGTTAAAACCTTATTTCAATATGAAAACTACTCACTGACTCACAGTTTTTTTTGCAGCCTTAGACATGTGAATTCTATAAGCATTGTTTTAAAACGTTATTGGCAAAATTCGCACAGATTTTTGCTCAAGAGCTTGCAACCTTTGGCTCACAGTGAGATAAGGAGCAGAAACAAGACGTTGCGACACAATTTAAAGTGTTGATGCATATTTTTCTGTGCTGCGCAGTTTATCCTTGCTGCACTTCTTATTTGATTTTGGCAATATTCAAGCAAAGATTTATAAATTACGCATCAGTTCCAGCGCAAATGTCAAGATCAAATTTCCTGAAACATTAAAACGACATTATAATCAGATTAAAGGGACTGTCCCTGTAATTTTACGTGATCCTTTCTGTTAGGATTCACAACAATTTAGCTTTGAAACCTTGATCTGCAGATCAAAAATATATATGATCGTTCTTCTATACGTCAAAACGTGTTGCATTTTTACGATTTCGTCTATTGTTTTTTAGCATAAATTTGCAAGTTAATCCACAATTGAAAATAAATAAGTTTTAAAGAGCATTGTCTTGACCAAACAAGGTTGTCAAACCTCTCTCTCATCAATATTGTCATATTGTCGTTTTTCTAATTTTAAAGTGTTTAAAGGGACTATAAAGGAAAAATGAAAGGGGGTATAGGCTGAAAGCTAATCACTTTAGCTTTTCATCGAGACCCTTGAGACGCCTATCTGAAGTTCCTAACTCGAGAGTTGATATAAAGCTGTTTCAAACTTGTACGAAAATGCATATATATACAATTTCGTATAGAAATAGTAGGTTTAAACAGACCATGCTCAGAAAAACAGCAACCAATCTGAAAAAGATGATATCCCAGAGAAAGCTAATTGTAATTTAGGTTTACTTTTATATTTGTTGTTTCTATTTTCAATAGATTTCATTCATAATATTATTTTTACGTCCGTATTACTTGACCAGAAATNAAGTTTATGTTAAGACTAGTAGTCAAGTTCATGTTAAGACTAGTAGTCAAGTTTATGTTAAGACTAGTAGTCAAGTTTATGTTAAGACTAGTAGTCAAGTTTATGTTGAGACTAGTAGTCAAGTTTTTTTTTTACTTGAGCAAATTGAACTCATATTCCCTTCAAGAAAAAATGAATAAGTATATGTATGTTTATTAATCTTCTGATATTGTTCATGTTTCATACATATAACAAAAAGTAAAAAATAACAAAATAAAACAACAAATTTGGTTCGAAATAAGGCCCCAATTTCACACTATAATTTCGTGGACTCTGTGAAAAATACATAAGTTTAAACGGGACATCTCCGAATTTGAAAACCAGGAAGACCTAAAAATAATTATTTATCAATATTTGAAAAATAATTGGAATCAATGATAAACCCTGCGCCCTCGGGTTTATCCTTCAATCTCTCGAGACTGAGAGTAATTGATAAATTGCATATTTAACATGTAATTCATGTTCAGATGTGAAATGCTGCAGTGTTCACAAATAGTGATCGAAAGTGGTGGAAATTAATGTTAATATTTTGAATTTATGAGTAAATCCTTTTATAGGAATTATTCATTATCTAAGTTCGGGATAGTATGTTTAGGATCGTCCATTTTACAACAGGATTGAAGGAACTGGAGGTTTACAATGATATTTAAGTTCGGGATAGTATGTTTAGGATCGTCCATTTTACAACAAGATTGATGGAACTGGAGGTCTACAATGATACAAGGGGTGTATATTATAAAAAATAATTTGGAAAAAAATGAAAAATTGGAAATTAAAAGGGAACTTTTTCCATTATTTTTGATACTCTTTTTCCCAAAGTTTCCAGAAAGGATTTCTTTGAAACAAATGCCTGAACTTTCAAATATGAGAGTACAAGCAATATCATATATATTTATGCTCAAATCCACCTTGCACCAGTTCATTCAGTATTAAAAAGTTTTGATTTTTTGCTTTTTTGCTTAAATCATATCACTTAGATAAGACATAATAAAAATTGTCAAAAAACATCTAAATGAGACGGGTATCAAAATATCCGTCTTAAAACTTTGAGTACAGAAGCGTTAAAACTTAAACTTCTAAAAAATTAACTAAATTTTAAGCAAAAAACGGATGTTTAGGAAAACGTATAAAAACACTTGTTTTCTAAGCCTTAAATTAAACGGAAAAATGGACGATATTTAGGGGTTTAAATTGCATCTTATGATACTAGGGCTTCCAGCAAAAAAGGTGAATAGTTTCACGAAATTTTCGTTTTTTTTTCGCGAAAAAAATGTTTTTTTTTTAATTTAGCTTTTTGCATTTCGTTCGCTGTGAAAAATGCACAAATTTACATCTTTTGCATTTCGTTTGCTCGCAAAAATAACGACAACTTCGCTAGAATCTGATTCGCGAAAAAATGCAAAATATTCGCGAAATAATAAATGCAAATATTTCTAATTTTAAAAAGAATTACTGTAACTGAAGAATTCACCCGACCTGATCAGTGATTATAGTTCAATGTTTCTTCCTCTTAGGATCTGGAGAATCCAACAGACTAGATCCTTCCCTCTTACTTAGATCCCTAAATTATACAGATTTTAATTCTGTTCCACATCAGGATTGAACCAAAACAAGATATGTCAATAGTATTTTTCAATCGGGGTTTTAAATTGCAGAAATAAATGCGGGATTTTTGGTACAGGTATCAAAAACAGGATACACATTACGTTGGTTGGTTTTATTGGATTGTTTTTTGTCTTTTCTTTCTTTCAGGGTAAAAAGATGACAAATATTTTGCCATTTTTATGCAAATTTTGACCCTTACAAAAGAAACATGCAAAAAAATACTCAAAACGGTGCAAAAACTAACGTGTTGTAAAGATCGTTTTGGAATCGTTTTCACATTTTTTTTATTTATCTTTAACAATATAATGCAAAGTTTAATAAACTTAAATTTTAACAATTTTTTTTTCTTCTAAAACGATCCGAACCGATTAAAAACAATTTTTATAATTCCCAAAAACACTTAAGAATCAATAACCTTTGATTAGGGGTGACATTCTTTTCTTCCTCCGGACTCAAGCTTTCCTGTTTGATCTCAATCCCATCCTTATACAAGATATTTTATTTTACAATTTACTTGAATATTTGAGAGACTGTATGCGTAATTTCAAGTGAATGTTTGGCGTGTTTGGTTCACAATGGTACCCTTGTAACCTTTATCTGATAAATAATGCGGAAGATGAAATCGTTTTTCTAGCTTCAGGGTTTAACTCTATAGTAATTCCTACATGTTTCCCTGCACCAGGAGTGCAAAAATCTCTATTGTGAGAAACAACCATTAAAAATTATCACTTTTCAAAAATATAAACATGGATATCTAATTTATATTCGATTAGACAAAGCTTTAAAGTTTACCATTTTGAACCCAATATTCCTCTCTAAAAATGAGGGGTCACATGAACTTATGCTAGTTCCTTTTAAGAGTTCCTTACAGTTTGAAAAGTTTTCGGATTTATCAAAATTTGAAACGGGTAGAATGAATGTGTCAATTAAAATACTTTATTTTTCAAATAAAATATTCATTTATTAGTCAAGACTAGCTCAATGGTCAGAAATATTCTTTTAAGACATTCTAACCCTGCCATAATCGAAATAAAGATCACTGTTAAAACATTAACATTTTGGAGGTATTAATCTAATGAAAAGCAACGCTTAAAATATAAATATGTGATAAAAAGCTTACTCCAACAATTAAAGCTAATTTCAGCCAATTCACAATTCAACAAAAGCAAAATAAAAATGAATATAAATAATGTAAAAAAATCCAAAATTTAGCGTCTATAAAACAGAATTTAGAACAAAATATAATAGTTAAAAACATATTAAGAAGTTTGGAACAAAACATGTTCTAAATTTCATGGGTTATAGTTTAGAGCGTTTTTATTTAGAACAGCGGCGTATACAGGGTGGAAAGGCTTTTGGGCCTAGCACCCCCCCCCACCTGGTAAAAGGGACTGTAAAGGAAAAATGAAAGGGGGGTATATATAGGCTGAAAGCTAATCACTTTAGCTCATGATCGCGACCCAAAAAGTTAGATCTGATATTTCTATCTGGAGAAATTGATATAAAACTTTCAAATTTATACGAAAATTCATTTATATATAATTTTGTATAGAAATAGTAGGTTTGATCTTATTCAACAAATATGCAACCAATCTGAAAACGAAGATATCCCAGAGAAACTTAAGTTTAACTTAGGTTTTCTCCAATTATTATCTTATTTTAATACATAATTGATAATATCATTTTTAAGTCGGTATTACGTCACCAGAACTCCCGCCAATGGTAGTGCAATACAGTGGTCACGTGTCTCTGTCTGTATCACGTGACCAGTATACTGCAATCTCATTGATGGAAGTTCTTATGACGTAATATGGACTTATAAGTAATATTATCAATCATATCTACTTAAAACAAAAATATAGAATTATAAACTACAATTGGAGCAAACCTAAGTCCTCTGGAATATCTTTGTTTTCAGATTGGTTGAGCATTTGCTGAATTTGATCTGTTTAAACCTACCATTTCTATGCAAAATTTATATATGAACTTTCGTATAAAATTGACACAGCTTTATATCAATTTCTCGAGACAGAAACTTCAAATAGACGTTTCAAGGGTCGCGATCAAGAGCTAAAAGTGATTAGCTTTCAGCCTATACCCCCTTTCATTTTTCCTTTACAGTCCCTTCAAGTAAAATCAATAGTTTCCACTTTCCAGAGAATTTTAGGTGTTTAGGTAGGTGGGGAACATAAATTCCTGTATACGCCCCTGATAAAGGTAGGTGGTGAACATCCCTTGTGAATCAACATACCTTGGGTGGTGGGTACTCACAGTACTCCTCAGTTATCGAATCCTAAAATTTGTCAAATTAAAAAAATTGCAATTACAAATGTTTTCCATTCCTGTTTTCTCCAGTCTAAATCAATCTTCCCTTAAAGGAACTGAAAATCGTAATTTCAAGTGACGATACATAGATAGAGTGGCGTGTCCGATTCACAACAGAACACTTATATGCGTTGTCTGATCAGGTATGAATCACGTTAAACGCTTAATCTCGATTTCCAATTTGGGCATTTTTGAATTTGGGCTTGAATACTTCATCCCTTCATCAAATTCATTAAAATTACCCTTAAAGCACGTTTTCTGATCAAGGAAGAATCAACTGCTATTTCCATTCAGGTTTCAGTTCAAAAGTGACTTGATGAATTTTTTTTTCAATTTGAACTAAATTTAATCATCATATTATGCAAGACTAAATGTTTAATGGTACTTTGTAGATCGGACATGTTCCTCTTCAAATGGAGGGTCACAAAAAATCACGACGACAATACTTAAATATTTGATCTAAAAGAACCTGAGGTTTGAAATTGTGAATTATGAATTATCTAACACAATGCTGCCAAGATCTAAGGATTTATAAACTTTAGTATTTAATTGATAATAAGCAAGGAGAATTGAGTAGAAGGAGGGGCGATAGGGTTTCCGTACACTTTGCTGTGACGTTCTTGGACTGCTGAAGAACTAGTTTTTGCGTAACAACAATAATAAAGATTGTAAACAATAACAGACATCTGGCATCTCTGGCGCGTTAGATGAAGATTCACCGTATACTAACTCATGTGTGTTTACATTAGATCGGCTGCCTTTGTTATTGTTGTTACGCAAAAACTAGTTCTTCAGCAGCCATAAACGCCACAGCAAAGTGTACGGTAACCCTATCGCCACCTCCTTCTATTCAATTCTCCTTGATAATAAGCATCTAACGCATCTTTTATTGTAACATAACTTCAGTTACCTTGTTATTGGATTTAACTACCGGCCTCAATTTTTTAATGAGTCTTCTTCTATTTTACTGAAGTTAAACTATATTTTTTTTAACCTCTAAATTGCGTCTTACCTTCTGTATTTAACCTAACCCCAGGTCTGAACTTTTGAATTTTGTAAATCTCAATTTAAAATGTGGGAAATTTTAAATTTGTGCATGAATACTTGATCCCTTCATTAAACTTATCCCTGCAGGGTAAGACCACCACAGGATACCAGAGCTGGGAACTTTTGAATGGTGGATATCGGGATTTATGCTTGATCCACTCTTTTTCTTAATCTCGAGATTAAATAGTGCTTACTCATCCTTTTGTTATTAATCTCCAGATTAATTAACCGATCAGGACTACGGATTTCCCATTCAAAAGTTCCCAGCTTAGAAGTAATTAAACTAATCCTTAGGTTCGCATCAGATCAATGATTGATCCTCAGATTCACATCACAAAAGTTCCAATTTCATCCTCTTAAACTGCACAAGTTCGCCAATTTGATTCTGTTGTTCCTTATATTTATTTGACTCTCGAAATTAAATTTCTTTTTATGATCAGTCAGAACGGAAAAAACCAAGAAAGGGTAAATATAAACTCAGATTTTTAACCTACCTTATCTGCACCGCAGCCTGTATTGTTGTTGCTCATAAAACTAGATTAATTATTTTCAAACCATGGGTTATGTTATCGTTCACGAGTCAATTTGCAATACATAATTACAGAATTAATTTCTTCCTTTGACTGTTATACATTACAATTTATATATTCTTGATTTAGAAACGACCTGCTCGGCCAAATAGACTTTAGCTTAAGAAAAATATTAAAAACTTTGGGACATGGAGAAATGCTGAATCACGGATTCTAGATATTTGGCTGAACCAGACCTGGTCCGGCTCAAATTCATTAAGCTCAGTTCAATTTGAAGAGAAATGGTTCAATTTAATCTACTTTTTAAAATCATTAAATATCTGGAATATTAATAATAAAATAATTGAAATAGTAATTTATCTCCTGCTGATGTTGATTGAAGGATAACAGTATTGCTGAGTTTCCAGGCCAGACTTAGAGGATTCCAATTCTTAATAAATTTCATTCAAAATTATCAATTCCTCCCCAAAAAAGACGGGAGTTTATGAATTTATTTGGATCAACATTGTGTACCACTGTACAGTGATTGCATCCAAATTATTTAGGGTTCTCATTTTTCCCCTGATCAAAAAGACCCGAAAAGGCATTATAGTACCTTTCCTGAATCATGAACTACTGGCTGAAATGCTCGGGGTTGCCCGTGAAAAAAAGTTGAAAAACAAATATTGAAAAAAAAGAAAATTTGATTTTTTTTTAAGCCTGTCACTCCTAAGCTACCCACAAAAAATGTCAAGCCCATTTGGTCCTGCCGTTTTACCGGCTGTAGGGAACATATATACAAATGTCTTGTTTTATTATATAGATAAAAACTCTTGGAGAAGAATCGAGTCTTCGCCACATATTCTGATTTTCTAATCTTTTTTTTTAACTACGAATAATGTTAAATTAAATAATCTAAGTTTGAAATATCAAAGGAATACATCATGAGGTTGCAAAAATATAGGATTTAAGAAATTTGAGTTTGTGGCAAAGACTCAATTCCTTCACGGTGGAACCTTTTTCAACCAAATTGAGAATAAATCGACCTTCTGTATGCTTTACAGAGCTGGGGTGTGACCTGCTGAAAATTTTACTGGACAATAAAATTTCAGATCTATTCCATATGATAGATCTGCAACTATCAAAAATTGATAAAATATTTACCCTTCAGATCCGCAACAATCATCTCAAAGCTGATTAAATATTTACCCTTCAGATCCGCAACAATCATCTCAAAGCTGATTAAATATTTACCCTTCAGATCCGCAACAATCATCTCAAAGCTGATTAAATATTTACCCTTCAGATCCGCAACAATCATCTCAAAGCTGATCAATTTCAATCTCCCAGCCTTGCACCTTCAAATATTTGCATTAACTACATTACTTCTGTTTGAATGGATTATAGAGCGTTAATCTACAACGCTTGATCTTGATATCAACTAGGACAACTTTTAACAGAAGAATTAAACAAGAAAGAGATCAATGCTTGATTCAAAGATTCACAATAAAAGTTGTACTTCAGAACAAGAGACTATCCCTTTGATTTTTTTCATAAAAGCCATTTTCTCATAGTACAAAGTAGAAGTACAAGTAGAAGTACAAAAGTGCAAAAGTACAAAAGAAAAAAGTACAAAAATACAAAAGTACAAAAGTACAAAACAAGAGAACAAAAGTACAAATATAAATACAAATACAAATATTGACTTACAACTTTTAGAATCGACCATTTAATTCAGATAGTCCAAACCCCAAAATGCTTCTAGTAAAGAGACCTATCTAAAATGTACCTTGAGTTCAGCAGACATTTTCTCACATTTCCTTCTTAATTCTTCCTCATTCCTACATTAAACTTTCATACATGAAAGCTCTGTTTGTGAAAAAGAAACATACGCTAGGTTCTAAAATTTAAAATGTGCATCTTCAAAAAGATCATTTGGACAAGGAGAATAAGAGGTGAACGAAATTAGCTATAACCTGGATAAGCTTTTTTTCCCGGTTCATTCAAAATTCCAATAAAAAATGCACAAATGAGAAAACAAGGGTATACTACCGTTCTTCACTTTTCTTGCTATTTTAAAAATGATTCTGTTTATTTACTGAATTACTGTTTAATGCAATATTACAATGTAAATGTATCATTTCAATTATATCCGATGTAAATTAAACAATAACCCCAAGGGGGGTAGCCAAATGGTTTTGAGGGGTTTAGATTTCCATTGATTCTATTTTTCTGAGAAAAATGACATTCCTTTGCAAAGAGTCGGTTTTAATATGGACCAATGTAATTAAGATTTAAGATATTTAATGAAATGTGTATGTCAAAAACTACCTTATTATAAAGGAAAGTGTACTGTACATTTATGTCTCCATTGAGAGCTATAGATACTACAACAAATAATTGTAATGTCAAATCCTAGAAATATCTTTGCTCAACCCTATGTCCAACTTTTGGGATAACTATGTGAAGATCTCTATGTAAGCAAAAAGTAAACAAAGACACATGTTAAAGTGGAATTAACTCCACTTTTGCCATCCATAAGTGGAGTTTTAGTAAAGCTTCTAAGTATAGTGAAATAGCTCTGCCATAACTTGGTGCTAACACCGACTTAAGAAATCCTCTCACCAACTGGGTGAAATCAACTCGACCTCTTAAAGGGACAGTAAAGGAAAAATGAAAGGGGGTATAGGCTGAAAGCTAATCACTTTAGCTCTTGATCGCGACCCATGAAAGTTTTATCTGATTTTCCTGTCTCGAGAAATTGATATAAAACTGTGTTAAAATTATACGAAAATTCATATATGTAAAATCTTGAAAATCTGAAACTTAAATCACGCAACCAGAACTATCACCAATGGCAGAGCAGTATACTGGTCACGTGTCTCCGCCTGTATCACGTGACCACTTTACTGCACTGCCATTGGTGGAATTTCTGGTCAAGTAATACGGACGTAAAAATAAATTATGAATGAAATCTGTTGAAAATAGAAACAACAAATATAAAAGTAAACCTAAATTACAATTAGCTTTCTCTGGGATATCATCGTTTTCAGATTGGTTGCTTATTTGCTGAATATGATCTGTTTAAACCTACTACTTTTATACAAAATTGTATATATATTAATTTTCGTATAGATTTGACACAGTTTTATATCAATTTCTCGAGACAGGAACATCAGATATGACTTTCATGGGTCGCGATCAAGAGCTAAAGTGATTAGCTTTCAGCCTATACCCCCTTTCATTTTTCCTTTACTGTCCCTTTAATAATATCGGTTTGTAACTTGGTACAAAAGTCGGAAGTAACACCCCGTTGGCCCGACTATTGCACTAGTTGTTCCATCCAGTTATGTTTGGTGGGCAAAACTACCTGGATTTGCTGTTGAACATGTTGGATATATCCTCGAACTTGTCCAACTTCATCTTGTTCTGTCTGCTCTCTTCTTGAAGCTGGTTGATCAAGTTGTTCTTAGACCTGTTCTCGTCAATACATGTTTTCAATTCATTTAAACAATAACGAAACCTGCATAAAAAAGAAAGAAAAAAAGAAATAAGAAAATAAAAGGAGAATAATTTCAAGCTTAAAGAAATAATATAGCATAAAATGATTATATCAAGTCTCACTTTATTAGAAAGAATGCGGTTGACTTTAGACTTTGGAAAGAGAAACAGTAAGAATTGATAATTTGCTTAGTTTGTTTCATAACAGGGAAAAGTCTAATGACGATTCTTTTCTTAGGTTAAAGTTAATCAATGGGTAAAACGAACATATGTTCTTAGTTCATACTCATTTCTTATCAAGAGTCCTTTAACTACTAACTCCTTTTGGTTAGAGATGGGCACACATTCGACTTTTTTCATTTTCCTCAAAATCATCATAAATTTTCCATCTATTTCGTTCGGTTACTCAATGAACAATCGTTCAGTAAAATCGTTCGACAGTAAAAAAAAGATAATTTTTCAAAAATTTGTTCAAACCCGTTACTTCAGTATAAAAAAATATAATTTTTTTCAAAATCTCGAGGAAAATTTATTTGTTCCGTAAAATACTATTGTTTTTTCAATGTTTTTTTCAAGTTCATTCGAATGATTTTAGATTTTTAATTTTGTGTTTTTTCATTAGTTTTTAAAAAAACAATCATTAATTCATTTCTCTTAATGCTCCATTTCGTTTGTCCAACGTAATAGTTTTTTCCCCCAGATTGACACACTTTTCCTCGAAAAAATGCGTTTGTTCAAAAAAACTATGCCCATCTCTAGTCTTGGTGCGGCTAAATAAAAGAAAACACAAATTGGTCAGGAAACTAAGATATTAAGGTGATGTGAGGGTTGGTAAAAAATATTCATACAGTGATTAGATAGTAATCTACTGATCGGAAGGTTTTTTTAATTTAATTTTTTACTAGGGGCAGAAAGTTATTATGGGGTTTTAGGCCTGGTGCCAGGGTTTAGAAACTATTGTACCCCTGTCGGTTTGGGGCTAAGCACTGTACAGAGAAAACTAATATCATGTTTGTTCCTGTTGGCTAGCTCAAGCTCTTTGATTATTTCCTTCTTCTCCTCCTCCATCTTTTCAACCTGGGGGGACATCAATGTAGATTAACTCAACAAGATGGTATTTATTTTGTTTATTAACCCAACTCAACTATTTTCCCTTCTCCACCTCCATCTTTTCAACCTGGGGGGAGGGGAGACATCAATGTAGATTAACTCAACAAGAGGGTATATTAACCCAACTCAACTATTTTCCCTGCCCTTCTTGAAAGCCACTACCATAAAAGATTTTTATAAGTTAATGTTACTCTATTTAAAACAAGAAAGTTAATTTAACTTTTTGGCTCATTCGTGTTAGTAGAGACTGTACGCATGATTTCAAATTAACATCTTCTAGCTTGAAAAGTGCTTAATTCTGATAATTCCTAT